TTCATAACCACTACTGTACGTCCCTGAGAACACGGTTCGGGATACCGCGGCTTCCCACGATGTGGATTTCTTCGGCGCTTTCAAGTGGCCTCAAGATGGCCTCTTGGGGGCTCTCTTGGAGGCCTCTTGGGGAGCCCCCTGGAAACCTTTCGGGGACCTCTGGGGGTTCTCTTGGGGGTCTTCTGGGGGTCTTAGGACCATGTTGTGGAGCTTCTAGGGGTCTTAGGACCATGTTGTGTGTGTGGTGGCTGGGTGAGAGAAGAAATCATACTCTTAACCATGTCCGTTCGCGGGAACACTCTTGGGGCAATGTTGTGGGCCTCTTGGGCCGCTGTTGGGGGCCTTGGGGTCGTCTTGAGCTGGTATTGTGGCCCTCTCGGGCAGTCTTTGACGATCTGAGCGCTGGAAAGGCGAGAAGTGAAACATCATTGACGCATGTCGGGGTCATGGACGAGTTCGTCCTCGCCAGCCAGTTGCTGCAGACCAGAATTCGCCTTAAGATGGCCCCAGTACCGCCTGGGTCCATCTCGGAGCACGTCGAAGGTTTTGGAATCCCAGCCCCAGCTCGTAGTCCTCAGGATGAGTCGGGCGGCAAGTCTTGGGAGCCCGCGGGAGCCTCCAGGAGCACCCCGAGACGACCATGGACGGAGGGTCAGTGGCCCCCACTGGCTTGTCCCAGCCCTCTTGTGTTGGTCGCCGCCAAGTTGGGTCCTTGTTTTGGATATAGCGCTGCTGCCTCCTTCTCCTCCTTCTCCTCCTCCTCCCCCTCCTTCTCCTCCTCATCTCCTTCCGCCCCCTCCTCCCTCCCCGCCTCTTTCTTTCACCCTCCCACCTGGGTGCTGCGACCCGCGCAGCTGTTGCCATTTCCGCGAGCTCCAGGGGCCAGCCACACGGGTGTCTCACGCCGACCCGGGTGGGAGAGCTGCCCTACGCCGACCCCGGTGCGCAGTTGTCGTCACTTTCGTGTGCTCTTTGGGGGGGCCAGCGAAGTGGTCGAAACCCAGCCTCCCTGGGTGCTGCCAGTTGGGCAACTGCTGCTGCTTTCGCGTGCTCCCGTGTGGCCCAGCGGAGCGGTGTCTTGCGCAGGCCAGCGCGAGACATCGCCCCGTTGTGGCTGCCAAGCCATTTTCGTGTGCTCCCGGGATGCCCAGCGGAGTGGCGCCTTACACAAGCCAAACTGAGACCTGACGCAGACCCCGTAGTTCAAATCCTCTGCATGCTTGTAGGAATTGCTTGAGGGCACTCCACTGCGTGCCAGAGGTGCGGTGGTGGATCCGTCGAACAGGATGCAATGAAGGAGGGCCGACGTGTTACTTTCCGCCACCGCCATGGCTGGCGCCACCGCCATACTCGCCCTCGAGGAAGCAGGAAACTTCTTTCCCGCCACCTTGTGGGCTTGCCCGCAAACTGGGGGCCGACGGTGTGAGGCCTGTGCGGTTGTAGTCCCAAGAGGATCGCTGGGTTCAAAATTGAAGCTTCCAGCCTAAAGCTGAGCTTTGTTCTCTGGGCTGGAAGCACCGATGCAGTGTCTATTTCAATCCGATCGATCCGATCCTGCCTGATCCTGCAATCTGAGCTTTGGCAACCCTTGGGGTGCGCGCCGCCGCCGGACTCGCAGGCCCGCCTCCTCCTGCTGGCGAGGAAGTCTGGCCGCCACACGAGGCCGCAGTTCCAGCGGAGCCAGTCAGGCGAGGCCCCTCAGCAGGGCGTCGCTATCTCTCTCTCTCTCTCTCTCTCTCTCTCGCTTTCTCTCTTTCTCTCCCACTGGGAGGGGACGGAGGGGAGCAGGTGTTGTAGGACGGGGTCATGGAGAGTAGCTCATGTGAGGGAGATATGCCGATACCGCTACGCACCCCTCGTCGTCACAGTTGGATCCGCCTCGACAACCCGGTCAGAGCGCATCCCGGGAGATGTCCAGGGAGTAGCGGTATCGGTGTTTTATTGTTTCTCTTACGGAGGGCGGCATGGCATGATGGGTGCGTGGATGGAATGGAGTGCAGTAGAGTCCGCGATCTCTGAGCCACCTGGGGCTCTAGCCTGCCAGAATCTGGGAGGAACCCTGGACTTCAGTCCTGGGAATTTCAGTCCAGTGAAAGTCCCGGGGTGGCCCTAGTCTGCAGGTGAGGGTGGGTTGCCCTTGGCTGGGCAGCTGGGACGATTCGTCTCTTGGACGCGGCGTCTCGGCTGCTGCAAGCATTACAGTGTCTCCCCAGCCACGGAGAGGTCTGGCGAGGACGTCGAGAAGCGTGCCCACGCTGTGCAGCCCTGGAGACAACGCTGGACGCCTCCGCCGCTGGACCACCATGGGGCCGTCCTAGAGCAGCCTTTTGGTTGCTCGGGGGGCCGCTTTGAATCGGAAGCTGGAACATATACATTACCAGTGGCGGGCTGTTTTCAATCCCAGGACTTTTTCGAGGGTCGGGGACGACGTCGGGGTGGTGTGGTGTATACTTTTGTCCCATTTCCCGGGGGGAACATGAAAACATGTATACACCAGGAACCGTATACACCAGGATCCGCTTTCCTGTGCGCATTTCAGTGCGGGGCCGGAAGAAGCGTCGGTGTATAGAGTTCGGCTCTCTATTGAAGCGATCATTTGACATTTTGGGGGAGGACGGGCAATCAACTATGTAGTGCCAAAGTGACGGGCAAACAATTCATTGCTTGTTTTGTTGCTTGTTTTTGTCGGGGCGTCTTGGGGCCCTTCTGGAGCCATCTCAGGGCCTTTCTGGGGCCATCCTTTTGTCATCTTGGGCTCGTGGGGCTCTCTTCTGGGCATGATGGGGTCTTCCTGGAGGCCTCTTGGGCCCTCCTCGCCATCAGGCTCTGGTGGCGTCCCTTGGGGGAATTCTGGGCAACGGTAAGGCGGACAGGGGGCTCAGGCCACCGCACGTGTGTTCGGATAGCAGAATGGAGGGGCAGGTGTTGATATATAAGAAGCCAGAAACACTATGTAGGACAACACACATACAACAATGAACACCAGCAGCGCAGCAGTCCAGCAAACGGCTTCACAGCCTAGCGCACCCCATGGGGCCAGCAGAGCTCCACGCAGCACGCTGCATAGTAGCCCCTTGGGTGTGGTGCCTTCGGGATAGGTCTGCGGTGTCAGAGTGATTCTGAGTGGCGTGGAGGCTCCCAGCTCGCGCCGCTCTTGTTTGAGACAGTTCTCACTCATCAGATTCGCAGCAGCATAGTCGACGAGTGCGTATTGACTCTGCTTGGCTCACAATCGTATCCCCAAGTCGATTCCTACCCGAGAGGTGCACTTGTGCAGCGTCGGAAAATCGAGGGAGGAGGAGGTCAATGTTGTGCCCTTAAAGTATGCTGATCGATGTGCATATCTATAGAAAGGGAGAGAGGGAAACGTATAGTGAGCGAGCGAGCGAGGGATATACATTGAGAGTGAGAGCGACAGCGATAGGCGAGAGAGATAGAGTTGAGAGTTGATATAAACATACAGAGAGAGTGAGGGCGAGAGAGAGAGAGAGAGAGACAGCGATATACACATAGAGACAGCACGCTGCTATGTATATAGAGAGAAAGGGAGAGAGAGAGAGAGAGAAAACACACAAAGAGAGAGAGAGAGAGAGAACGAGAGAGAGAGAGAGAGAAAGAGATAAAGAGAGAGAGAGAGAACGAGAGAGAGAGAGAGAAAGAGAGAGAAAGAGAGACAGAGAGAGAGAGAGAAAGAGGGAATTGGCAGAGGGAGAGGGGACTTTCACGTAGGAGCCCTCCGTCGACGCACGGAGGTCCTTCCCGCGCGGGGAGGGGTCGCCGTCGGGCTGCCTCCGGGCCAAGCGAAAGAGAGAGAGAGAGGGAGCGAGCGATCAGGAGGAAGCGGTGATGGGCTTGTTTTCCACCGCCACCATAAGTTGGAGGGGGAGGGGGTTCTCCTCCTCCTCCTCCTCCTCCTCCTCCTGTGCCCCTCCTCCTCCTCCTCCTCCTCCTCTCCTCCTCTCCTCCTCCTCCTCCTCCTCCTCCCCTCCTCCTCCTCCTCCTCCTCCCCCTCCCCCTTCTCCTCCTCCTCCTCTCCTCCTCCTCCTCCTCCTCCTCCTCCTCCTCCTCCTCCTCCTCCTCCTCCTCCCCCTCCAACTTATGGTGGTGGTGGTGGAGAATCGGCCCATCAAGGTGCCTCTGGCGGGGATCTGTGATGGGCTCGGCCGAGGCGAAAGCTTCAAGGCGCTGCTCGGAATCGAGAAGGCCTGGCGCGGGGTGCCGGCCGGCGGCCGGCGAACGCCGTCGCGTCAGAGTCGAGCGCGCGGCTCCGCCTCTGTTCGCAGGGCGTGTCTGCAGCACCGCCTTTCCATCCCAGCCTTCACCGCCCGTGTTGTTTGATGTGTACTCCAGATTTCTTAATAAAGGGAGGGGAGTCTCATTTCGGGGGGGGTCTCTTCCAGGCTATCTTGGAGGGCCTGGGGGGGTCTGGGGACGATGTTTTGGAGGGTTCTCCGACGGGAGGGGGGGTCTGAAATGGCTCGTCTTGGAGGGTCCAGACCCCCTCCCTTTTATTACAAAATCTGGAGTAACCTTTCCTTCTATGTATACTTGATGTTCAAGGGTCTATCACCATCGACCGCACAGAAGCCAAGCACCGTGCGGCAGCTCCGAGCCCGGAGCCCGGCCAACCTATCCCCGAAAGAGTCCCGATCTCCTGGGCTTGTTCACTGTATGCTCTTTTCTGTCTCATTACGAGTGGGGCTGTGTTATTTCTGGTTCCGGTGATGTGGCCTTGCTGAGAGCAGCTGCCCCGTTTTTTTTTGCTTGTTCTCTCTCTCTCTCTTTTGATCTCTCTCTCTCTCTCTCTGCTTGCAGCGGCTCTGTCGGAGCTAGTAAGACGGAGGGTCTCTTCTGGTCGTGGCACTCGAGAGACTCCTCCTGCTGTCTCTTGTCGGTCAAGAGGTAATCGGATTATCCGCTGTCATGATCGTCCCAACAGTCCAGCAATCCTGCGTCAGGAGCTCGTATTCTGAACGCTTCGCGTAATCCCACCAGTGTGCATGTGCCGCTGCGTGTGTTGTCCGCTGGAGTCTGCGGCAATCTCGCGCCAATCATTTTGGCTCAAGTGTTCGGGCAAGCCGAAGAATCTGTGCTGTTCGACGGCAAGCCAGCTGGATCGCCCCTTCCAGCCACGCTCGTACGGCATGTCGTTGGGGAGGTTCTCGCCTGCGGCCTTCGCGCTGCTGCTCGCGGCGGCTCTGGCGGCTCTGGCGGCGCCGCCGTTGGCCCGCAGCGCTGAGGGCGAGTGCGAGGACGCCAAGACGAGCGACGACGCCAAGACGAGCGACGACGAGGCGGCTTTGTTGCAGGTTCGCAACTCTGGAAACGTCACTAGCAACGCGACCGTGCATGCCTCCAGCAAGGGCAATGCCACCGGCAATGCCTCCAGCAAGCGGGCGCGCTTCGTGCCCGCTGCTGGGTCGATCATGCCGGACGACAGGTGGACAAAGAGGGACTCGTGCTTCATCAACGGCTACTACGAAATGGGGCAAAAGACGGACGTCCTGTACGCGAGCCTCGGCTCCGCGGACGTCGGCACCGCCAAGATCATGTGCGTGAACAAGCCCGGCTGTGGGGGCTTCTCGTTCTACAGGGACGGCGCGGGGAACATGCACGTCTACTACGGCACCGCGTCCGACGGCAACGGCTGGGGATGCGTCGAGAGCCCCGGGTGGACGACCGTGATGCAGTGCCACGAGCCGCAGTGCTACCTGCCGCCTCCCACCACCACCCTCCCCGGAGAGCCCAGCAGCTACCCCGACTCAGTCTGCACGGACCACGGCACGGCCTGGACCGACGGTACGGACGACTGTGCGGCGTACGCCGCCAACAGCAACGGCCCCAACGACGGCTGGTGCGCCGTCTACGGAGCGTCCAAGGGCCCCGACGGCTACTCGGCGCAGGAGGCCTGCTGCGCGTGCGGGGGAGGCTACACGGTCGTCGCGGGCCGGCCCTACCTGGTCCAGGGCGTGTCCTTCCTGGCCTCCTCGCGCCCGGACGAGGGCGCGACGGCCGCGGGCGGCTGGGGGGCCCCGGATGGGCGCCTGGGCGGCGTGCCGGGCGGCGGCGGCCTCGCCGCGCGGCTCCTCGAGGAGGGCCGCCGCCGCGCCCAGCAGGTGCACGGTGCGCAGGACATGGAAACGCTGCTGGCCCTGCAGGGCACCACCGCCGTGCCCGAGGAGACGCTGTCTGGCCTGATCCGCTCCGCCAAGCAGGAGCTCTCCGCGGCGGAGCCCGCGGAGCTCGAGCGCTGGCGCGGCGCCGGCCTCAACGAACACGCGTCCGTGGGCACGTTCGCGAAGCTGGGCATGGAGCTCATGGTCGCCGGGGCGCCCCCGAGCCTTTCGCGCCTCGCGGCCCGTGCGCAGGAGGAGGAGGTGCTGCACGCCCACATCAGCCTCGCGCTGGGCGGCGCGCGCGAGGGCGGCGAGCTGCTGGAGTTCCCCGAGCACGCGCTGGAGCTCACGCGCGACAAGGGCGCCCTCCACCGCGCCGCGATCGCCGAGGGCCTGCGGGGTGAGGGCCGGGCCGCGCTGGAGCTCTTCGACCAGGCGGTGGAGTCGCTGCGCGGGCGCCCCGCGGTCGCCCGGCTGTGCTGGCTGATGGCGCTGGACGAGGCCAGGCACGCGGCTCTGGCGGAGGAGACGCTGCAGTGGCTGCAGCGCACCGCCGGCATGCCCGCGCCGCGCGTGGAGATCGGAGCCCGCGGGGTCGAGGTGGTCCGGAGCGCGTGAGGGGCAGCAGCGCTTGGGCGGCGTGCTCGGCCTTTGCACAGTTCGGCCAGCGGGTCCCATGCCACAGCTGCCGGTGGGCTGGCGATGTCTAGGCCTCCCAGATGGGGTTGGAGTAGATGGGATCGGAGGGTCGCGCCGCATCGGCTATACATCGCCGATGTGGCTCGATGCGGAGCCCGATTTTCTCCACGCCGACGTCGCCGATGCGTCGCCGACGTCGGCGATGCATCGTCGGTGCATCGCCGATGCGGCGCGATCCTCCGACCCCATCTACTCCGACCCCATCTAGGAGGCCTCTACGATGATACCCATCCGAGGTTCACTCTTTTTTTGTTTTTAAGTTCATCGGCGCTGTGCCAAATATAGTTTTGCTGATTCTCGCCGAGCGCGTTCCACTACTCGCAAAATGCCTACGCGCAAACGCCCGAAAAACACATGTCTGATTCGATGTAATTTCTCGTAGATCCCCCTCAGCGGATCCAGGCCATTTGCGAGTAGTCACTTTGCGAGTAGTGGAACGCGCTAGACTAGCCAAATATACTTTTGCTGATTAGGGAACGTCCTGCTCCAGCGTGGAGCCTTTTCCAGGGCCTGCCTCCCGGGCAGGCTGGGGCGAACGACGCACGCAGAGGTGGCGTTGGCGTTCTTAGCTGACGCGCGGGGCTCTGCGCTGCTTGCCTCGCGGGCCAGCTCGGGACGAGCGGCTTGCTGCAACGTGTATTCCATATTGTACTTTTGACAGGAATGATGGGCCTGCGCGCAGCAGGCAATATGTCGGCAGCCCCTCTCGCCACTGTCATAGCGCAATGCAAGGTGACAGCTTGGTGCCCGCGCATGGTCCAGATTTTGCCGCAAAGTGCATTTTGTATGGCTTCTTTTTGTCAGGGATGGTGTCATGGTTCCGGGTTTGCTGCTGGTCATGCGGGCGAGGGGGTGTTCAACAACAGCGAGGCTTCCCTTGCTACTCCCCCCCTAGCTACACTATGCAAGACCATACACAGCTTACGCTGCATCATTCTTGTCACCCCTAGTATCAGGAGGAAAAGAAACACACAGACACAATTAATCCTCGATTTCCCAGAACATATGGGGAAATATGGGAAGTGGGCGGGAAGACAGAAACCCAGAAAATATGGGAAAATATAGGGAATATTTTTATTTGTGTGTATTTATTTGTGTGTCCTGGGGCCCCTTCAAAGTAACGGTGCTCCCACGTGGACCCTGTCCAACTGCCCCGTGCCCCGACTACCAAAGCCATGAGCTGTGATGGGATTCTCCTCCCCCCCGTCGAGCCCCCATCACCTCCGCCGCGGGGCGCCGACGTCGATCGTCAGGGGGCGCCCATCTCCGCTTCTGCGCTGCCCGAGGCGTGAGCTCTTGCTCATTCCTCCTCCTCCTCCTCCTCCTCCTCTCCCATGCCGCTTACCTCCTCCTCCTCCTCCGCCTCTCCTCCTTCCTCTCCTCCCTCCTCACTCCTCCTCCTCCTCCTCCTCCCTCCTCCCTCCTCTCCTCTCCCCGCGTTGCCGTTGCAGGAAGCGCGGGCTATGGGGGGCGGGTGGGGTCGGGTTGGGAATGCATCGACGCCCAATCGCCCCTTGGTCGCCGACAGGGGCCCGGTGGCCCGCTCCGCCCAGGAGCTTCCGCACTCCCCCTCGGAGGCCTGTCGCCGATCTGTGGGCGACGCGTCGCCGATTCCAGGTCGACGCCCCCCTCCCTGAGCAGCAGGTCCCCCCGGCACGCTCGGCGGCGCACTGGGGGGAGAAGCGAGAGGGGCCGTGCCTCCTCCGGAGGCGGCGGGGCCTCTCAGAAGCCCTCCTGCCTTCCAGGAGGCCCCCCTGCGGCTTCGGAGCAGGCTTGAATGCCAGCTTCACAGGAGGCCAGGGGCCTTTTGAGCCCTCTGCCTCCCTGGGCGCGCCGCCGACTGATATCAGGAGGGGAAAAGACACGGACACCATTCATCGTCGATCCCTCAGAAGATATGGGGGATCCTGTCGTTTGTGTCCATCTATTGTGTGCCCCTGGGCCCCCTTTCTCTTTCCAGCAGCAGCCGAGGAGCCCGCGCAGACGCCGCTCTACTCCCCGCTGCTCGCCTGCGACGGGCTGCGGCAGCGGCTCTACAGCGCGTCGCTGGCGGCGCTGAGCGGGGCCCTGGGTGCCCCCTGGGGGGCGGCAAGGGCGAGGGCCAACGCCTCCTCGATGCTTCGGCGACTGCAGAGGGTATGGCCACGCCGGGGGGTGGCTTGCGATCGGCACCGTTGGGGCCTGGGGGGCACGACACTGTCCTCGTCGGGCATCCCCGGGGCATCCCTCGTTGGCCCCGAAGGGGGCGCGACGATGTGCACTGGCAATCTAGTTGTTGTGACTCGTTTTTGTTTTTCTGGCATCCTGCAGCCAAGACGCTGGAGTCAGGGCCGCTCTGGGGCCCAGGAGGGCCTCTGGCTGTCGGGCCTCGCCTTGAGTCGGGATTCCGGGAAACTCTACCGAGGTCCCCGCGCGACCCCCCAGGGTGCCCCCCCAGGATGTTCCCCAGGGTGCCGGTTGCAAGCCACACCCTTTGCAAACCACACCTTCTGGAGTCGCCGAATGAATATGATGATGATGATGATGATGATGATGATGATGATGATGATGATGATGATGATGATGATGATGATGATGATGATGATGATGATGCTGATGATGATGATGATGATGATGATGATGATGATGGTGGTGGTGGTGGTGGTGATGCTGCTGCTGTTGATGATGATGATGCTGCTGCTGATGATGATGCTGATGATGGTCATGATGATGATGCTGATGATGATGATGATGATGCTGCTGTGCTGTTGCTGCTGCTGCTGATGATGATGATGATGACGATGATCATGATGATGCTGATGATGCTGATGATGATGATTATTATGATGATGATGATGACGATGACGATGATGCTGATGCTGATGCTGATGCTGATGCTGATGCTGATGATGGTCATGATGGTGATGATGCTCATGATGCTCATGATGATGATGATGATGATGAGGAGGAGGATGATGGTGATGATGGTGATGATGATGGTGGTGATGGTGATGGTGATGGTGATGGTGGTGGTGATGGTGGTGGTGATGATGATGATGATGATGAGGAGGAGGATGTTGCTGCTGCTTCTGCTGCTGCTGCTGCTGATGATGATGATGATGATTATTATTATTATTGTGAAAGTCATTTGAGACGTTTTGGGACTGTTTTGGCCTCCTATGAGGCAGTCTTGGGGGTCCCCTGGGGCCTACTTGGGCCGTCTTGGATCCCTCTTACGCAAGCTTGGGGTTATCTTGGGCCCTCTTTGGGCCCTCTTGGCCGTATGGTGGATGTCTGGGGGTCGTCGCTGGGCCGTCTTGGCGCCGTCTTTGGGCCGTCCAAGGGCCTTCTAAGGCCGTCTCGGGTCCCACTGGAGGCCCTCTCTGGCCGTCTTGGGGCCTTCTTCGGGCCGTCTTGGATGCCTCTTGGGCCATTGTGGAGTCCTCGTGGGCCGTCTTGAGCTGACGGCAGCCTGGAAAGGCGAGTGTGGACGTCAGTCAAAACCTATAATAAATCACTGATTTGGGCTTCTTCGGACCCTGTTAGAGGTCCTCTTGTGGTCCTTTTGGGCCCTCTTGGAGGCATCTTGGGCCGTCTTGAAGCAATTGCCTTGGGACCATCTTGGGCCGTCTTCGAGGCATCTTGGACCATCTTCGTGGTGCCCTTGGTTGCCTGCGCGGACCGTCTTGGAAGCTCGGGGCGCATATCCACTGTTTTTAGCGAGGGATCGTGTCTTGGAGCAGCGCCCGGAAATGCGGGACGTGCACGATCCTTGAGCGGGTACGTGTGGGACGAGGGTCTAGGAGGTAGCAGCCATGCGTGAAGTGCATAGTTTTCGAGCGGGGGCGCATGGAATGAGGGTCCTGCATTAGATGCCATGCGAGAAGTGCACCATCCGCGAGCGGGCGCGTATTGAAGGGGGGTTCAGGCATTAGTTGCAATGCGGGAAGTGCACCATCCTCGAGCGCGCGCGCATGAAATGATGGTATAGTTATTAGCTGCCATGCGGGAAGTTCACCATTCTCGAGTCGGCACGCGTGGAATGGGGGATGATGCATTAGCTGCCATGCGGGAAGTGCACCATCCTCGAGCGGGCACGAGGGAAGTGGCCTCGGCGAGTAGGGGGGATGCACGCGGCAGTCTGCGGGCAGAGGGAGAGGCGGTCCCTTGTCAGAAATCAGGAAACCCTGCCAGGCAGGCCTTGGCATTCTTTCACGCCTCAACGTGGCTGGGGGGCGGTGGCGGATCACGACGGTTACCAGCATCACGACACTGAGCGAGGCGAGTGAATGCAATACCGTGATTTCGACATCTTCCCGTGATGATCACGAGGGGTACCAGCAGATCGCGTGCCAGATGAGGGGTACCAGCAGATCCGTTCTCAGCAAGTCGACGACAGATACCAGTAGGCCGCGACTGATGTTGCGAAGGCCATATGGCCGGTGCCGCCGACCCTGCAGACGAAGACGACGAGCAGGACGAAGACGTTTAGGAGCAGGAGGTGGAGGACGTCAGGGAGAAGGAGGGGGGAGGAGGAGGAGGGGGAGGAGTAGGAGGAGGAGAGGAGAGGAGGAGGAGGAGGAGGTGGAGGAGCAGCAGGAGGAGGAGGAGGAGGAGGAGGAGGAGAGGAGGAGGAGGAGGAGGAGGAGGAGGAGGAGGAGGAGAGGAGGAGGAGGGAGGAGGAGGAGGAGGCGGCGGAGGAGGAGGAGAACAGGAAGAGGAGGAGGAGGAGGAGGCGGAGGAGGGAGGGACGTATTGAGGAGACGAGGCGGAGGGGAGGAGGAGGAGAAGGAGGAGGAAAAGGAGGAGAGGAGGAGGGGAGGCGGAGGAGGAGGAGGAGGAGGAGGAGGAGTTGGAGGAGAGGAGGGGAACAGGAGGAGGAGGAGCAGGAGGAGGAGGAGGAGCAGGAGGAGGGGGAGGAGGAGGAGGAGGAGGAGGAG